TTTCCTTTATCATGCTCGTTTGGCTCTTTCTCCTCTCTCTCTCTCTCTCTCTCTCTCTCTCTCTCTCTCTCTCTCTCTCTCTCTCTCTCTCTCTCTCTCTCTCTCTCTCGTTCTCTGTGAGCGAATAAGAAACAATCTGGGATTATTTGAAAATTGAAAGTGCTGCAACACGAACTGTTGTGATTAATATGATATAGTACAAATATGAGGTAATAAAGGAACATTTGTAATATCATTGATAACGCCTATCGTCTCGAGTTAACAAACGATACAATAATAAATATAGTAACAGGAGGGACTGTCTCTCTGCAGAGTGCTGTTTGATTTATATCTATATAAAATATCCGTGCGCATGCATATTTTTGCAAATTCGCGTATGTTGCGTGCGAATTGTATATACTCTGCATTACTCGTGTATTATACGCACTCAACAATGTCCAATAATCGAAAATGTAGATCGGGTCATACACAGATCACTTTAACCTTTTCCGATACAAGCGCAGATTATCGCAACCCTTTCTAGTCGTATTTTTTTCAGAAATTTCATCGATCCTTTCCGACCCATTTCGACGGTACTTGCACAGGATATTCCCTCTTGCCGTCTTCCCTCAGCTCTATGGATCGCGCGTCTTACGTAAGCGAATTCGTGCAATCCCAAAAAATCTCTCAACGTTTCGTTGAATTTCCCGCTAATAGTCAACTTTTCTTGGACTGTAATTGCCAAGTCCTAGTTAATAGAAGATATAGGTACAAAATGTAAATTTCGTGCGACTCATATCGATGGTGTTTGTTCCAAATTCGCAAAGTAATCGCGTTTAATTTATACGATATAAATTTAAACAAATTTTTACGATTTTTTTTTTCTAAATATAAATTCACGGATGAGTGTAAATGTTGAAAATAAGCAGAGCGCACATGCATATATATTGCGCGTAGAACATTTTATCTACTCTTCACCGCGATATTGTGTCAACATTATATAATACGTTTCAGGAATAGGCAAGATTGATGTAGATGTGTATGTTTACGCCTGAGCGTAGCCACTAAATTCAAGACGGACAGATTTTATGAGTCTTTTCACGGACGGTGTTGACAATTTACAACGATTCCGGCACTTCTGCTTGCCTTTTTGCAAATATCGATACCGATATGTAGACTTATAGAAGATACGCTTTAGAATTTTCCGCGAGACGTTTGATAGGCTTAAATTAAGTGCATAAACGAAAAAGTTGATATCTTTTTATCTCAACTTTGCGCGACTTTCAGCACACGAAGCGAACCGAGAAATTTCTATTCAAAATGTAAAGATTTCAGATATTTCAGATCCTTCCCTCCTCCCCCCTACGCAAGTAAGAAGGATACTAAAGACGCTCCTTCTCGCTCGCTCTTTGTCCTCTTTCGTTGTCGCGTGCAAACTTCACAGCAGCTTTATGTTACTTTTACTCTTTTTTTCTCTTCAAAATCATTCCGTGAAACGTTAATAGGGTGGAAAATCGAAGCCTCACCATCGAGACGCGTTTCGACGAGGATAAGCCGCGAAGTAAACATTGCTAGCGGTCTCTAGTTCGTCTTGAAGAAAGAAACGAGGAAGAGAGCACGAGGAAAGGTCGGCGTGTAGAGCGTAGCGATCTTACGCGGTACGTCTAAGCGGGTAAGTAGGTGCTGCGATACGTTACAGAGCGAGGAGGAAAGTCAGATAGGGTGGCGCAGCGGCCGATCGATGCATCGTCGCGGGTCGGACTCGCGAAAGGTGTACGTACGCTTCCCGATGCAACATCGCGGCGAAGCGTACGAGAACCGAGTCGCGGGACAGCATGTTTATTCCGATTAATCTAGAATCTAGATTCACGAGAGAATCATCGGATAGACTACCATAGGATAGACTGTAATATAACTTTAGACTAGACATCGATGAAGCATCGACGATCGTGACAGAGTTTATCTCTGCGAAGATTCGAGTAGAATACTTCAAAAAGGAAATGTTAATGTAGAAATAGTTGAGCGAGAAAATAAAAAGGAAGAAATCGTGCTAGCAAGAATAATGTTTCGTACAAGAAAAAGAAGAAACGCAACGAGCCGCATGTATGCTCCCGACCCTTGAGGGTTATCGATAACGATAAACTACTTAAACGATGCTCCGAGAGAGGTTGAGTCGCCGACTTTCATGAGATTTAACAGAAATGTCTTGGATAGTCCTACAGATGAAAATACTCGACAATAAATAATAGTGTAAGAGATTTAACGAAATCTTACGTGTCGAATTATTCCTAAACAGTTTCGTTATTTCAATTAGAAATTGGTTTACATGCGCAAACAGTAACCTCCAATCACATTTTAATGCCGAATATTAGGTCTTCGATAACAACACATTGGCACACACAGCAATTTGATGGATAAACAATACGATCCTTGTGCAAAGTTGAGCGAAAAGTGAAATATCAACATGGCGCATTGAATATAATATTTCGAAAAGTCTTTTGATAAAACTGCTCTAAATATATATGTGTGTGTGTGTGTGTGTGTAGCATATTAAAGATATAGGAATAATGGTACGGGGGCTTCCTAACTACGATATACTAACTCGAACAACTACGATATAGATAATGATAGATTATTATCTATGAGATTTAGTAACATGCGTGGACAAATGGTGAGTTGAAAGTTCTCATTTTTTGATCTGCAAACGATAGTCAAGAGTTCGAATCCCTGGAAACGACAAACAGTTTAGCTGTCGGCGTAAAACTCTCGGAAAAAGATCGGAAGGCAGAAAGAAGACCTTTCTATTGTGGTCAGAAGCGTGCAAGAGAGATGCGTAATGCAAAGTCTTTTCGTCTTGTAAGAACAGCGCTCTTGCGTCCTGTTTGTTGTGTTAGAGCAGCGTCGTTCATTTTTTCTCATGACAGACAGTGGAAGACTGGTTGAGAGAGAAAGAGAAGTATGTGATGGTTTCGTACGCGTCTCATCGTGGCTCACGATCGCAGAGAAACGTCCAGTCTAAAAAAAATTTCTCGGACGTTCCGCGTAATCGGAGCACGTTGAAAGGATTCGACTTCAGGAAGGGACAAAGTGGTTCCTCTCTCTCTCGATCGCACGTTCTGCACTCACCACTACAATCGGTCGAAATTGAAGAAACAACACGTAGAGTCCGCTGTAGATTACGTATTACGTATTACGCGACACAGTTAATATGAGTTTTTCTTCTCTTTTGCAACATTACTCTCCCACTAATCTCTTTACTTCTCTCTTCGGAGAGACTCCAATGTGTATGAGCTATTTTTATGTTGTCGATGTAGAAGACATGCAAATATGCAGTTAGAAGACAACACCCCGACCTGAAGACACGATACGAGAATCGGCGAGGATGAAGAGGAGGATGGCATCTTGCGATAACGAGAGATACATCCTCTCTTCTCCTCTCCCTCTTCTCGCTCCATTTCTTTTTCTCGCGCGACATCTCCAGCGCGCGCGTTGATCGATGACCGGCAGCACAATTTCACATCTTCCGCGACGCGAAATCGCTCGATTGCGGAAACATGTTACGTCAGATCACGAGCAAGACAGGTTACAGCGGGGTTAACGTAAGAGGGAAAAAGAATAGATATATGATTAAACAGACAGGCAACAGAGACAAACGGGGAAGTACTCACCACCGATGCTCAGGGTTCTCCATCGGGTCTTTCGCTTGGAACCCTTTTTGCCCATCTCTCGCGATCGTCCACACCACTGTCACCACACCACCGCCGTCGCCGTCGCCGCCGCCGCCGCCGACGTCGCCGCCTCTCTCCTCCTCTTCCTCCTCCTCCTCCTCTTCTTCCTCTTCTTCTGCCACCACCTCCGCCGCAGTCGGCGCTATGCGCCTCGTCCTGCGCGACGATGATCTTTCTTTAGTTTAGGTTGGGATTCACGAGTTCTTTCCTTCGTTGTCGTCTCCCTTAGGACGGGAACGATTCTCGACAGGTTGGGATTGTCATCGCACGGTGGATGTCCTCTCTTGGATGCACTACCTAGGTAATAACATCGCGCCACGATGTTACGTCCACTGATTGGCTCTCTCGTTCGCACGTTTCCTATCGCGTTGTCACTCTCGGGGGGTAAGACAACCACTTATTCGCTTTACCACAAACGCGCGCGTAACTGATAATGGAACATCGTTCGCGAGAAAACCACGATTCGCAGATGCTATAACTCCACTACATTACTCACGCCGCTCCAACGGCAACTACACACTTCGGACCCCACCTCGCCCCTTCCGACGATATGTACCCCACCACCTTGCTCCACACACTACACACACAAATTCTCTCTCTCTCTCTCTCTCTCTCTTTCTCTCTCTCTCTTTCTCTCTCCCTCGATCCCCACCCGCAATTGTGTCGTCTAGCCTTCCCCTCACCTTGTCGCTATGTCGATAGTTCTGTGCTTTTAGCTACACTCTCTATACTCGTAATCTTTCGTCCTTCTTTCTTCGAATCGCGAGTATATACTTGTTTGAATAAGCGAACCAATATAGGCCTCTCTCATCTCGCCTTCACTTCTCGCATTCGGAGCGTGCGGAACAAGTATGTTGAATGACAATATAGTAGCTTGAGAGCGAAGGAAGGAGTAAAGGAAGTGTAGTACCACTGTACCTGATACACTGTCGCGTGCGCACCCTCATATCGTTATCATGTGCTCCGAGATTCATCGAGATTGTCCAAGATCCATCGAAGAGGTTTCCGGCAAATACGAATTGCTGTCTGGACGAAGGACGAATTGTGCGATCCCACGAATGAATCTACACGAAATGTAGATGTATACGCATTAGCGATACCGCTAATCACACCGAATACTGAAACTTCCGCTACTTCAATTTCGCACTGTGTCGACAATTCGAATTCTCCGCACGCGCATGCGCGCTTCCTAAGTCATATCGGTAGAATCGTTGCCGCGAAAAGACTGATGTTAATAGTACCGCGCCATCTTTGCCGGTTCGCGGCAGTTGATGAGAGGTACGGTTAGAAATATCATTTTCATATTCCGGATTTTGATATTATTTAGGAACGTGATTATCTGTTCGTTTTTATGAAACACGAATTTATAGTTCTTTTGTCTTACGATGTAGATGGTTTCTGCCGAGGAAGACGTTACAATTGCATAGATTTCGTGCGTCGATACCACACGGTGTAGCTCATGCGATTACATATACATGTATTAAAAGAAAGAAAAAAAAGAAAAGAGAGAAAAAACAGTTGCACATGTAACAAATGAGCATAATTGTCTGCAGTTGTCTGGCAACATTGACTTTACATTTATTCTGTTTTTCTCGTTGCTGTTAAAATCCACTTACTTTGGTTTTACCGGAGCAAGTTGAAGGTTTCAATGTGAATCCGTGCATTGTCAAAAATTAGCTAATCGAATTGCGAACTCAATATACGCTATAATAAGACATCTTAATATTGCTGTTTCATTACAATTTTGCAATTAGTTGGACATTACGGTCTCACAGACATGTGATCTGTTGGTGGTGAAGATTAATTTTAATGTTTTTTGTACAGGTTCAATGTACAGGTTAAGTTGTAGTGACTTACCATCGCATACAGAGAAACAAAATGTTGAAAATGCTATCACTTCACGACTTTGATGGTCCTGCTTTTGATGATGCAGCTGCTGTTGGTTTACTGAATGATGTCATGCATTATTGTGACCATGATAAACTGCAAGATGAGAGCCAACCTTTTTACAAATACTTACGCAATTACCCTGAAGTTCCTCTTATACAAGATATTCCAGCCACCCGTGACTCAATACGGACAGTTAGTGCTAATGAACTGTTCTTACCTATTCACGATAGTGCTTTTAAGAAGATTGTCAGTATATGGAGAGAGAAAGGCTTATCTGAGGCTATTTGCTTCGCTGCTGCTGCTGATCCACACGAGATCACAACTGTTGTACATTGGATAGCGACAAGGTATTGGTAATATTTACTACAAGTATGTACTTTGATAATTAATTTTTATTTTATCTATATTACTGTTAGTGCTGAAACTGTTAATTTCAGGCTTAAAAAAGTTCTAGATTTTATGGATAGAGGTATATATCACAGAGATCTTTTACCAACTTCAGGAGATGGATCTGTTGCTGATATTGTTGCTACAAGAGATTGGAACACCTCTCTGGTAGAATAACTTGGCAAGAAATTTGTAAATATCTTATTTATTTAACCATTATAAAAGATGAGAATTTGTGATTAGGTAAGATGTATGTCCTGGCATCCGTATTGCTATCGTCTAGCTGTGGCTACAAGGGATGATCGAATCCGTATTTTCTCACCGGTGTCAACTAACACTACCTGGATGTCATTGATACAGCCTATACCGATATTGAGACACAGTGAGCAGAAATCAGTTTGCTGTTTGAATTGGAGGCCAAATAGTGGCCGTGAATTAGCGGTTGCTTGCTATTATGGAGTATTGGTTTGGACAATAGAATTGAGTGCAGCCAGTAATTTACTCAGTCATGCAATACATTTAAAACAAAGAAATCATGCACCTGTTACAAGTGTCACATGGCATCCACAAGTATTTCATTAATTTATTTCCCTCTCCTTTATATAAAATATAGATTATAATTCGTAGATGATATCACAAAGTATATATTTTTAGGGTGATCTATTGGCATCCTGCTCACCAACAGACTTGAATATAATAATTTGGGATATTTGTAAGGAGGAGGGAGTTCCTCTGAGACGTGTCGGTGGAGGTGGCATATGTTTCACATGTTGGTCATCCTGTGGTTCACGATTATTCTCTGCTTCATGTGGAAATGTTTTCAGGTAGTACATCTCTTTGTAAAAATACATTTATCTATTTTTCCTTCAATAACTGTTCCATGATATCCATATAGCTAGCCACTTTACTATAGAAGTTAATATTTCAGAGTTTGGAATACTGGTGTCCCAACTCCGTGGCATACAGATAAGTGGATCGTACCCAACGGTCGTGTGGCTGTCGCATGTTTTGGCCCGAACTTAACGTTACTCTTTGCTACCACCGAAGATCCTGCTACGATATTTTCGTTACCATTGCAGGACAATATATTCGACGATAAAAAAACAAACAACAACGATGTAAAGATAGCTATGCGTCTGATCGATTTAACAAAAGTGAATTTCTCATCGGATGATAACGACGATTATGTCACAGTAGGAGGTAGGATAATTTCTATGGAATGGAACTTGACGGGACGGTATCTTGCTATAATTTTCCAGGTTTGTAAAATATTTACGAATAAATGCGAGAATACACGTGTCAATGCATAGTGCTCTAATATCACATTTGTTTTTTCCTCCTGGATAATATAGGACAGCCCAGTGATCACTCTGTTTAAAACGACTGTAAGTAAAATATCACGAGTAGTGGAAGTTCAGCCAAGCTGCCTCATCAAGGGATTTCCTGGGGAAGTACCAAATTGCATGAATTTTTATCAGAGAGATACCTCGTATATTTGTCTGACAATAGCTTGGAGCAGCGGACGCATACAACATTTCCCGATTGTTGAGGACCATGACAAACTTTATTCTGTTACATCAATCTACGGGAACAAACGAATTGTATAACTTTGACATGTCGGTGGCGGTTATGAGCTACGTGATATATTAGGTTAGTGTTTTTTAACGGAATGATGTAGTAACAAGTGTTAAATAACAAGTACGCTTTCATTTCTGTCAGCGAAGAAATGACGGGAATGAAAATCAACTCACGAGAAAACTGTTATTAGCAGGCAACCATTAGCCACAAGCGGTTATCTTTCGCTTATAAAACTTGCGTAGACATGCATATGCGGAGGCAAAGCTTATATGATTCTCGTTCGGGAGTAGTTTATATCCATAACTGTCTTCGGGAGAAAGAGAGGAAAAAAAAGAAACGAATGGGTGGTCCGCCGTTAGACACTCCAATGGACTGTGTAACGTACCGAACATAGAGTGCAATACGGACTCTCTCCTCGAGTTCGGTACCTAATTATACGAAGTCACATGCAGAGCGTGCGTCTGTCTATTTTTACGTCGCTTGACCGAATGCTAAACGCTCGTCGGCATGTATCTTCGTACGTACGCGGGCCCACGCTATTTTCAATACGCCCTATACGTCGCCCGTTTCATCATACAACGACTTTGTGTATGCATACGGTTACGGTCAAGCGATGTATCACGAGATATTTACGAAGTTGGGTGTCAACTGCACAGTAAAGATATTTATCGAAACAAAATTTTTTCTTTTTTTTTTATCATCACCTTTTTATGCGAAAACTGACTTGGACATTTTCCGTGTGAATATGCGTTATTTGTGTGCATAAAGTTATATTTAAAAGTATACGTTTGTATGTTATATTATATTTATATAAGTATGTTTTTTTATTTATTTGGTAAACTTTTTAATTGTCTGACTCAGGTCCAGATTTGTGCCGCGCCCGTGCCGAATTTGGAATTTGTTTCCGACGTTTCGTTCACGAAACAAATCCAAAATGGATGCGATACGCACACAAACCCGAAAGTCAAATCAAATATTTCTCTACACCGCGAAAGCCTAAAATATTATCAAGCTTTTTAATCACATGTACACATTCATCGGACACTCGTGCATTAGACAAAATGTATTAATTTCTATTGTGATGTACGTTCGCGGTTCTAATTCACCGCTTGATATTACACGAAGGCGGAAAGCGTTTCTAGTCTTTCTTTTGTTCCGCACGGGACGATTAAACGTTTAAAATGGGTCTTTTTTATTCGTTTCGCTGTTATTGCATCCGCATGGGAGGAGAACATGATCGGTGTCTTTTTTACGGTGTATTTATTTTAAGGGCGGTCGAGTCATGCGTGCATGTGTATCCGCACATGCACGCACGCACTCACATGCGGCGACTGTTATACGAACGAAGCTAACAGGTGCCTGAGCAAAAAAGTAGGATTGTGAGCGGGCGTAGTATGTATAATGTAAGCATCGAGGGCTGGCAGACCACATGTGCCGTTCTATCACTTATCTTACCCGTAATATGACGTACTATTCCGTGGCTGTAGAATGCACCCAGACGCGTACGCATGTACTATACGTGTATGAGCGCATGAACGGGTGCATTTTTCACGTATGAAGAGAGACACACAAGAATGAACAGAGCGCGTCGTACCTGCACGCGAGTGCACACGCGAGAATCACAAAAACAGGAAACACAAAACAGCAAACACTGACATTTACACGTTTTGCCTCATATTTCTAGGTTCACGATATGTACACAGCTGAATCTTATGTGCAGCCGATCAAATATTTTTGTTCACCTATATCGGCCAGATTTCACATTGTACGTGATATCATATCGCAGCGATACAGTTCAAAATAGAGTGAAAGATGCATCGAGTGTTTGCGTACGTTTCCCTGTCAATAGCGTATTGCTATGACGTTATGTAGATTAGAGCGTCATCGTAGCGCGCCGCTTAAATATTCGTTGAAAATACGAAATGAATGTGAGAATGAACACGTCTGCTAACTGGTAACTCTTGCGTAAATTTCATCAAATGCTGAGGATACATGAAGATTAAAAATAAATGAATGTATAATAATTAATAATGATAAATAATAAATCCCTATTGTTTATATACTTAAATATTTGATAAAATCTGTCCAAGCTGACAAAGTATCGGTTACTAGACGTTTTCGATTTTACAGATCGATGTTTACGACGTGCTTATGTGCGAAAATTGTGATTTGATTCGCGAAAATTAGAGTCGTTGGAATTGATAAAGTATTATGTGTACGTGCGCGCACGCCAGGAAGGTGAGAAAATACGTGCAAAAACAAAAGGTATAGCAGCCTGTAGTAACAGAAAGCAAGAAATGGACTTGTCCTCATGTGGTGTGCGCGTAAAAGCTGTTGTTAATAAGTGACGCGTGTGTGGCAGCTGGTTTTACATTTTTTGCTCCTTGCACCCGATTCTTCGGTCTTGAGCGACGAAAGATCGTCTCGAGCGTTCTCCCTTTGTCTCTTTCTTTCTTTTCTCCCCCTTGCGGTCTCTCTTTCGTTCATCTTTCGTTTCTCTTGCTTATATGTGGTTTACCCCGTCTCGAATACTTCGTCAAAACGATCCGATGATTTCAACAACAGAATCTGCCGTGTTAACGCGGTGTAATCAAAGCGCATTAATTGCGTGCGAATTCAAAGTACACGCAACGTATAACAATAATATTAATATAATATAATAATAATAATAATAATAGTAATAACAAGTAGATTTTTAAGAGATTTGTTTCAAAGCTAATATCTGATTTCAGAATTAACGTTCAAAGCAGTCGCTGCAGAAAGCAGAAAAAGATGGTCCGGTATATATACCGAGAATTAAATCTCACTTTCTCGTGTTTGATACAGATAAACCGTATCATTTTTATTCGTTCCTTCCACACGTTTCCCTCATTTTGAGAATAAATCTCTCCAACTTTATTCCCTCTTTAATTCATCTACCTTTTCCTAGGTGGGTGTTTGCGAGAAGATAGCACATGATAGCCGTTTGGGCGAAATCGTGAATGGTGCACGCGAAGCGTGACGGCGATCCTAACGGAGGAGCAGTTCAGCCGACTCGCGAGGAAACGGTCGCGGTCTCATCGCGAAGAGGATGAGGAGTAGTAGAAGAAGAACAGAAGAACAGAGTAAAAGAAGAAGCAACAGTAAGACGAGGAAAAGGAGAAGGACATGAAACGCGCGACGCGCGTGCACTACACGCGCCGGCAGATGTTCGGGTACGCCTGTCGGCCGCCACCGTTGTCACCCCCGATCGCCACGAAGAGAGAGAGAGAGAGAGACTGTAGCGGCAGCGGAACCCCTGCCGTTGGTGAGGCCGTAACGACAAGTGCAGCAAGTGCAACGTACCCTGGTAACGAGGGGAACACGTTGCGGCCACGCGAGTGGGCGGCGCGTGTTCCCTCGCGCTTTCTCGTACCCTCTCCGCCACCGCTGTCGTCGTCTTCTTCTTATAATATTCCGCCCTCCAATTTTCAAGGAGACGCACGCCACCGAAGGGTTACGTTGCTGGAGGGGGAAAATGTTCGTCCTCTCGGCTCGCCTTCTTCGTCGAAGAAGAGCATCGTTGCCTTTCGGAGGTCTCTCTTGGATAGTCTTCAAAGAGACGCGAATACGATCGGTGCTACGAAAGCGTGGAGAGCCGGCTCGCCGACTTATCGGGAGTAGTTACTCCGTCGTTGCGCGCCATTGCTGTTGTTCTCGCGATCGCTATCGCGCGCGTGCCACCGAGCGTACCCTCCAACGGAAAAGACCGGCGCGATAAGCCAGCGGTTCGCGCAATCGGCGCGTACATGTCGATACCGCGTTGATACCGCAGTAAGCCGCTTCTCGAATACGTTCTTCTCTCGCGTCTTCTCTCTCTCTCTCTCTCTCTCTCTCTCTCTCTCTCTCTCTCTGCGTACTTACACTTCCGGCCCCTGGGGGAGAGCGAGGCGTCAATCGGACATCTTTCTGCTGCGGCTTTTGTGGCGGAATGCCGTGCCGTTCGGCATGCTATCGAACTACTAGCAGTGAAAAGTCCAGTCTCCGCGCTGATCTCGAGTTCTCTCGCAGGAGAGGAAAATTTATTGTCGTTATTGTTAATTGTGCTCGGTTTCGTGCTCGGTTGTATCTCGTTCTTCCCTGGTGAATGTACGGGGTGCGCGGGTGGAATTAGTATTAATTCGACTGATAACGCTTGACGTGATGTACCTGAATGATGTTGAAAGAACGATCTAGAAGAGCTTGTGGAAATTTTGGGAAGCAAAAACATGGTGAAGCAACTTGGTCGTAACTTGGGCTTTTTTCAATGGGAATCAAATCACAACTGCTGTAGCAAGCTTGACTGTTGAAAAATTGTTTTTAAAAGATAAGGCCTTGCGTCGTAACTTGCGAACACTGGCTGATGTATAGTTAGCCGATTTTTTGGTCATTTTATTGTAAAAGCTGACTGAAGCTGTCTTGTATGCGATAACTGGTACAGTTATAAATTATAAATGTTAACGCCTCATTGCAGTTGTGACTTTCTTCTCCGGAAATGTAACATAGCACAGAAATATCGTAAGCACATGCTCGGTAATCATCAAGGTAATTGAATTATCAAGGATCGTGTAAATAATCGTAAGCGCGTCTAATCGTTTGTGAGTAATTGTGACCGAGTGCGCTGAAATATGCAAACGCGAACACGAATGCTTACGTTTGTCTCGTCTCGCGAAAATCATTATGCCCAATTAACAATTAAATATCCAGTCTGTAATTCAGCGATTCAGTTGAGCCAGAAGAAAATGGAAAGACCAAAATAAAACGAGAGTGTTCGCGGAACTGCGCGATAATTTACCAATTTTGAGCACGATCTAAGCTCTAATCCGTGAGTTGATTCGTGTCGTTGCTATCATCATCCGTGAATCCGTTCGATGCCTCGGTAGCTTTGTCGGCTCCGTTATCATCGTCTTACGTAGTAACACGAGTTTTGATAGTGTCAGGCGAGAGAGAACGAGACGGGAGAAGGGGTCACAAGCCTGAAAACGACCGACGATAGCTTTCTCAATCCGTGCACGCGCGCGCGCGAGCGAAAGACGTTACAAAATCACAGTTTCGCAATTCGGCCGAAGCGTTGCACCAAAGTACATATTACCATGTTTGACGGCAGGCTGTCGGACGCGTCGCGACGACAAGTCCGGAACGAAGGAGATGCACCTCGAGGATTATCACGGCGAGAGAAACGAGGAGGACGTGCGACGATCGATGTCAACCGGTCTGGACCAGGACGACTTCACGGACGATCGTTCTTCGCAGTTGGTGACATCAATGGCGTTGAGCACAATGAATATCAGTATGGACCAACCGCACTGTTGGGTGATCTCGCAGCCGGATAGTCTCTTCTCTCCGTTTCCCGACTCCGGCGCGAATCCGCGAGAATATCTCGACTGGGATCAAGTGCCCACAGTCTTCCAGTATCCCTTTCAGTATCCTTCTACCGGCAACAGATCGCCGGAGAGCACCTCCAGCGAGACAATTACGACGGCCTTGAGCAATCCAACTGCGACAGCGGCAACAACAATAACGACAACGACGACGACGACGACGACGACGACGACAACGACGGCAACAACGACAACGACGGCGACACCGACGACGACGACGACGACGACGACAACGACGACGGACGATGGTTCAGAAGATAAATCAGACTGCCTGGTTCAGAGGCTACCCTCAGTGGGCTCGGCCTTCTCTTTCTCCCGTACCTTTTGCAACACGGTCTACCCAGAATACGGCGCCGAGTTGCAGAGTTATCAGGACTACCAAGACTGCCAAGAAGACGTGGTATCATTGCTGATGAGCATGCAAAATGATCAAAGCGATCAAGGACATTACGGTTCCTCGTCCGCGCAGATGTCTGTGGACGATGAGTTCGACCTGAGTCTGATAAGAGGCGACCCGACCTCGCTACTGAGCAATGTAGTTGACTCGCCCTCGTCGCCACCGGCTTGTTTCGGTAACGAGCTTCACCACGAATCATTCCAGAACTTCCAAAACGGCCAGTACTACGCGGTCGGGCATCTCGTCTCGTCGCAACAACAGCCGTGCACGCTGTCGACAATCAACTTCGCTGGCGAAGTCGCCGACGCGACGGAGAGTTTTGGCAATCAGGTGATACTGCCGCGCAACGAGGGTCTGTTGCTCGGCGACCGGCATATCGCTGCACCTATGGAAAACGAAAGGGGCAATAAGCCCTACGGTGAGTTGGTGGTGCCATTAATACACGAAGAGGACAATTCCATTAGTGTAACTGAATTTTATGTTGTTTGGAGACCAGACGAAAATTTGTTTATGGGGACAGCAAGATTCTTTTGTAGGAATTTTCTACTCTGTCAATTGCTTTAACCGAGTTTTACATATAACTGAATCAGTTCAAATAAATTCGAGTTTTCGAACGCGGTAACGACTTTTCGCTAATAGAAGCAGCAGTTGCCTTTTTCATTTTGTTATTGTACATAATATTGCATGAGGAGCGCATGTCTACGATTTCCATCGTATTTTTAGCATCTTAAACGTGACCGCCCAATTTTCTTCTCGTATTTTCATGTTTACATCCAGTGCAATCTTCATTTTGTATAAATAACGCTCGACGGGTCAATAGACTACTAAGAATTTTAAGCAAGAGAGAAAGAGAATCTCACGATTAAAAGCAAATTCTAATCAATTTTCAATATTCTCTGTATTTCTTGCGCTATTAAATATATATATATATATTCTATAATACGGCGATTCCTATGTTGTGTTTGGCATGGGAGATATTTAATAGCGCAAGAAACACATAAAGGATATATATCATCAGGATATACGTATCGAAAAGGATATATGTGTCGTTCTATTTTATTCTATTTATTCTATTTTATTCCCGCACTTGTAAATCATTTTTGTCGCAATTGCGTGTACTCACATACTCATGTTCAACAACTACGCACACACGTCGCGTTGCAGATTGCGCGAGACCCGTAGAAAACGGCTTCGACTCTACCTACCTGTGCCGCTGGATCGACTGTGGCTGTGCATTCACCGAGCAGGAAGGTTTGGTGCGGCATATAGAGAGGCGGCACGTGGAGTCATCTTCGGCGAATGCGCACGGTCACGGCCGACGGATGCAGCGGGATCGAGACAAGGAACAGCGAGAGGGTAAAGAGGCAGTAGAGACTTTTCCGGCAGTATCGGCGAGCCGCGAGGATGAGTTCGCCTGCCTGTGGCAAGGATGCCCACGCGCGCGACCCTTCAACGCGAGATACAAGCTACTCATTCACATGCGAGTACACACCCACGAGAAGCCGAACAAATGTACGGTTAGTGTCGTCATATTTGCTTGTTTCCCCTTCGACGTCTACGTCGACCTCTGCACGTTACGATATGGCTTTCAAGCTTAGTCGCAAATCTCTCGATAACGGTCACTCGTGATGCAGGCAGAGAACTCGCGATAGCTTAGACGTGATGACGCGTGAGATAGGCGTCACAGCTACAATGACTTTTTTATGGGAGCTTTCGCAAAAAGTGAAGTAGAAGATTAGACAAAGGGGAAGGAAGGGGAAGGAAAAAAAGGAACGCCGTGTTTCTCTCCCAAACAAAATAGGCATTCATGAAAGAAACGGAGGGATGTTCCTGTGTCACCATGTGTCACATGTGTGAGGTGCTTTCTCAATATTTATTTTATCGCTCGCCCCGCTGATTTTTCTATGACACTTGCACGGCAGGGTGAGGTGCAACGACCGCGTGAATAACCGCTTGCCTCGATGAATAAAAAACTGCTGATTCTATATTTTTTTCTCTACATAAAGAAATCAAATTTATTTCAATCTAACGGTTTTTCACTTCAAACGATCTCTGCAAACAAATTAACAGCGATCGAAAATTTCTGTTGATCATTCGCTTGCGCAATTACGTTTCTCGTTGTACCATACATTGTCGTTTCTCCTTGTATAAATTATCAAGTTTCTTTTATAAGTTATCTGTTGGATGAAGTACTAATCTCTATTTTCCACTTTTTACAGTTCCCGGGTTGTAAGAAGGCCTTTAGCCGTTTGGAGAACTTGAAAATTCATCAGCGATCGCATACGGGCGAGAGGCCTTATGCATGTCAACATGCCGGTTGCTCGAAAGCATTTAGTAATAGCAGCGATCGGGCCAAACATCAGAGAACACACTACGACAGAGTACGATATTTCCTTATTTATGTGTCTTCGTGTAACCAATGTAATACTCGACAATCTTTCTTACAAAGCAATTTATAATCTTCATGTTGAAAAAAGTCTAAAAACTCATTTGCGCGTAGAATTAAATAAAAAATTAAATAGAAACCGGAAAAATTGAAAATTATTTTCTTGATAACTCTTAATTATTGATAATTAATTCTGATCTCTTTTTCTAGAAACCATACGCTTGTCAAATAAGCGGCTGCGGCAAGCGTTACACGGATCCATCGAGTCTTAGAAAGCATCTGAAAAATCATTCAGAAAACTCCGGCACATTATCCAGTTTGTTGTCGTCGGACAAAATTGCCATGGCTACAAATAACACGACAGTATATGGATTAAACTCGACGGCGATTTCGCGACGGCAAAGCCAAGACGTGAAAACGAATCATCCGTCATATGAACTGTCTAAAACGTACGTAAAGGAAGAGGACACGCTGTCTAACGATACGCACCAGGCGACTAGAATCCCCATAAATTTCGATAACAATCAGCAGGAATACGTGCCGATTGAGTCAGTTTGTCATCTGCTTATTAACGACGTCCACAACGCACACAACGAAAGAGCAGGTAATAACGAGTATATTCGTTTGATTTAATCTTCGGCAAGTAGCGAGAAATCTGAACTTTCGACGCTTAGAAATTCATGTGACTCTACTCGAAATAAAATTCATCGGGATATCAAAAAGAACGCATATAATACACACCGAGGATTAATAATCAGTCGCGAGCCTTACTGCTTCACGAATATCCTTTCTGCTGAGAGTACTGCTGAGAGCGCCTTGTCATGATGGTGTCGTATTATTTGAATTCTTAGCACGACTTATCTCCCAACGGCGAGCAGTAACCTTCAATCGGTGTCTTCGATAGAAAAAAATCTGGCCGAAATGCGATAAGAAACACAAACTTGCTACTTGGTTGGTCTGCTTACGCTCTGTTCTTTTCATATGTAGAAAGTATACCGTGAAGATAAAACGTGACCTTTAACTTTCACTAGTAATAGCACGACGTTGTCTGAAGTTTCGTTACACAGCTTTTCATCTTGAAAATATAATTTATTAAATCGGACATTTATGAAACTGTGTTAATCGAGATTGAATATTTGCAACTGAAAATTTGTATATAATAGCCTTTGAAGATTAATATCGATTTTTGGCGTATGATGTTACCACGTCTCTCGATAAAAATCTTAGCAACTTCGTGACATGTGCAATTTTAATAGAAACGTAAAAAGCTTCTCGCGATGAAATCAGTCGTGCTATTAGATCACGCGTGCTGCCTTTTTTTGTCGCGCAGTTTTGTGTGTATGTGTGGTGTGTGTGTGTGTGTGTGTGGTGTGTGTGTGTGTGGTGTGTGTGAGAGAGAGAGAGAGAGAGAGAGAGAGAGAGAGAGAGAGAGAGAGAGAAAGAGAGAGAGAGAGAGACAGACGGACAAAGACACTGATGACAATGTCGCGCTCTCAGCTGTTTATAGTTAATCTCAGAGGAGGTTTGCCGCGCGTTTTTGCCTTTACCCCATACAGAGTCTTAAAATAATATTCTTTGCTTTTTTGGACTCGCGCGTACGTGCGGGCATGCACGCGTGACAAAACAGATGACGCGTTGCCACGTGCCACGCACCCGTGCCGTTTCCAAAGGAGAAGCCGTCGCATAATTTCGTGAAAGAGTATATAAAAACACGCGAGCGCGAGATCGAATGCGAGTGAGCGAGTGAGAGAAAGAGAGAGAGCCAGAGAGAGAGAGAGAGAGAGAGAGAGAGAGAGAGAGAGAGAGAGAGAGAGAGAGAGAGAGAGAGAGAATGAGAGCAAAAGGGTGACACATCGTCACAACATTGTTTCAGGATATGGTGCACCCGCGGAGGACAACGTGCCGGATTTCCACGAGCTCGGCGCCGACATCGAGCGACAGTTCCACGAGTTGAGCGCCCTGGACGACGCTATTTTCATCGACGGATAATTTCCCTTAGCAGGAGAACCACTCTCTCTCTCTCTCTCTCTCTCTCTCTCTCTCTCTCTCTCTCTCTCTCTCTCTCTCTCTCTCTCTCTCTCTCTCTCTCTCTCTCTCTCTCCCCCTCCCCCTCCCTCCCTCCCTCCTCTCCTCTCTCTCTCTCTCTCTCTCTCTCTCTTTCTCTCTCTCTCTCTCTATCTATTTATCTATCTTTCTTTCTCACGAAGGCAAAATGAAGAAGGACTACTTTCTTCTCATCCTACTATCATGATCTCATCATCGGCGCGATGCGCTGCATTTCCAAAGACTCGTTTGTTTCCTTTATTTTTCTTTCTTTTTTGTACTTGAGCATTTTTAGACTTATTATCGTTGTATTTGACAAATCATTTATATTTTTGTACATAGGCATATATGATTATTATGATAAGTAAACAATACATTGTTTATTTAGATCATGAGCGATTATTTTTCCCTGCACCTGCTGCTCGCTCTATCCCGTTTCTTCCTTTTTTTACCTCTAGGTTCTCGATTCGCTACACACACTTGGCTTCTGTGTCAACTGCCGACAGATTAAACGACGAAGTTGCGTAATGCTTCATCTTCATTCTCTTTAGAGTATACCTGTGCACACACGAGATAATTATTTCGCATGATGTAGATAAGTAAGAAGAGGAATATTTTGTTATATACTCTAGAATAAAATCTTGGAAAAGTCATTTAGCAAAATAAAAAATAATAATAACTGTAATCAACAGAGACATTAGTAATAACATTACGTTATAACATTAAAATAATAGAAAAAAGAATGTGTAAAGTAGGAATTTGTGTGTGTGTGTGTGTGTGTGTGTGTGTGTGTGTGTGTGTGTGTACGTGTACGTGTACGTGTATAATTGCGTTTTGAAGTAATATATAATTATATGTGCGCTTTACCCCGTTGATCACTATTGTCGGGACAAATGTTAATGGAGGATTGAGGGCCGCTGTTTTATCTCCATTCGCAGCAAGCAAATCATCTCCAAGCGAGCTTTTGGTGCAGCTATCAATTGCTCTTCTCGTTTCTTCACTTAGGCCGACGTCTCGAGCGCACTAAAATTCGATTACAGACATTTAATTTTTCTTATTTTCTTTTTATCGTTTTATTCATTTTATATCAGCAAATATCGAAAGTTGATCATATTTGTCAATGTGATACTCCGTTTATTATCTTTTAGAACATTGTTTTATATATTAAATATTTTCTGGCAGTGACTTAAAACATAATTGAATAAGCCAAAATACCATGTTATACCATGTGAGCTAGCAAACACTAAGTATTTTGCACTATTATGCATATCATTAAGATATAAGACATACGCGCATCAATTATTATTCATGGAATTCGTTTTAAGAAAAAATTGAGAATATATCTTTCCTCTATATTTTAAATCTAAAATATCACCTGATCTTCTAAAAATGATCTTGCTTTTAGACAGAAAGTTAAATATCATAATTTTAATATGGTAATTTAAATATCTAAAATTATTCAAAATCTATCTACAAAGTCAGAATTTTTTTCAGATATGTACAATATCATTTTGATATTTTCATTGTAAAAATCGATGAGAGAGAAAAAGAAGAGAGAGAGAGAGAGAGAGAGAGAGAGAGAAAAAGGTCCAGTTGTTATCATTATAAAAATAAATCTGATAATTTTTATCTTCTTTAGATTATATATCATTTTTTAGAAGATTATAGATTATATATCATTTTTTCAAATTACATAATTCTTCAATCAAATTATGATATCTGTTGAATAATATTTTATCTTGATATCTTGAAGTAGCTCAAGAATTGTTTTATCTCTCGACATCAAGATCTTCTTGATAAGATTTCAATGATAACAACAAGATTTAAAGATATATGTATATCATTAATTAATTTCATTAGTTTATGATATTTATCTATAACTTATGATCTTATCCTTCTATCTTTTGTTTAAATGTTTCAGAAGCGCACGTAATGTTTAAAGAGAACTACTTTGCACAAATTTTCGAAATATCACTAAACCTTATTACTTAATGAGGATCCTTTGAGGATTGTCTGTGAAGACAGTGATGCCGATATTTGCCATAATACGCTATACCGCGAATTCTTCGATGGGAAAGTATGTCAAAAGGTCTCGTAATTGCAGCTAAATGTCAGTTCGTTAACCCCTGCCTATCGGCGGTACGAAGATTAATTACAGGCTACTTCGACATAGACACTTGTTGGTTGCGGCCTCAATGGCGCTTTAACGAGTCACGTATCGTGATCGGGTGGAAAATTATAGTGATAACTCACCTGCGGTACAGCAGTTGACGGATTTTTGCTGGACATTGCACAACTTACTACGTTGACCATCAGTTGTTCCTGATTCTCGGCCACTTCGGAGAATTTGATCGCGTTGATAGCGCACGCTTGGGCCTTATTGCCGCGACATTCGGCAGGCCCGTGTTGACACTGGAACTGCCATGGACTGGTTGCGCTTTCGCGTGCGTGCTACAAAAACACGCCATTAATTTGCATTAATATACTGGCTTTGAAAACAACAGTACATTCTTCGCGATCGACGCAAATGTGTACAGAAATAAAGAGATGACAAGGTCTTTTCGTCTCACGTTCTCAAGGACATGAACGAAACGGACCAATCCTTTGTGTTTGGAATGATTCGTAGATTCAATATATGGTGTGTGTAATGTATACAAGTCATTCGTCCTTCTCATTAAAATAACTTATAAAAAGGGAAGGAAGTCGGAGAATATATAAAGGAAAAATATAGAAAAAGGAAAGGTAGGAAGAAGGAAAAAGTGAAGAAATTAAGAATTCTTATAAAAATACTTGATATTGTATTTTTAGAATATTTTGATTGATTTACGACGTTGACGGCTATTATATCGAAAAATTAACGAGTACGTGAAAATTTAATGTTTGACAAATAAAGCACTTAAAATATACCATCGTCTAATTGCCGCTTTACTAATTACCGTTTTATTTACGTTTATGTTTTCATCTTGCTTGACATATGCTTGACATCAAAATAAAAACATAAATCTGAAAGGTGTGATTAAATATTTACTCACCGTAGCTTTACCATAAGGAATCAACGTGACGTGGATGTAATCCTTCAATTGTTCGTACGACGGTGCTAGCTGAGTAATAATAAATCGCTTGCTGTCGCCACATAACGACTCGTAGTAGACATCCACCTTTACGATGTTTCTCTCAGGACTTAATTGCGCATTGATCTTGAAAGAATGTATATTATGACTATATATCATCATTTAAGGATTATAAATATATTAAAAATTATTACTGTTCTAAAAGGAGGGTAACAAAAAATAGGCAAATATTAAAATCTGAATATTCCTTTAAATATCGTTCAATTTTGAATATTTCTTTTTTCTGCTATAAGGCCAGTGCTCTTATTTGCCTATTTTTTTCATTTTCTGCCTACTTTTTGTTATGATTGTATATCACAAGAATTTTATTGTAAAAAAAGATTGATAGAAAGTTTAATCAATTTTGATTGTTTAGTTTGTTATTAAACAGAAAGTAATGAAAATATAGAGTAATAAAAACAATATGTGCTATCAAGGTAAAAGTCTCTTGGTAGCATAAGTGATCAATTTAATAATTTTATAAAATTTATGGCAATTCTGTTAGAAATGTTATTTTATATATTTTATATGGAACTACCGCGGTAAAATTTTATAAATATCGATGAATCACTCTCTCTTTACGTAAGAGTAGGTATTTTATAGAATTAATTTCCGTCAGATCAGACACACGTACTTTAAACTTACCAGATTGTCGTGGCAAATAAGTACAAAGGTGGCAACCGCCAGCCAAGCACGCAAGTTGAACAGGTAGTACCGCATGATTGTGCTGTTCGATAGTGAATAAACTGGAGAGAAGGTACGTTTAAACTCGTATGTGCGGCTGGTAGTATCGGCAGACAGTGAAGAACGCGGGAGTGGCAGAGAGGGAGAAATAAAGCATCAAGAGGGGAAATTGAGAGAGAGAGAAAGGGAGAGAATGAAATGAGATAATCAATACTGTCTAATCCTAGCGATATTAGTGGAGGACATATTATTATCAATTCGGTTATCCGGAGTCTGCAATCCGTAATTTTTTCATATTAAACAATGATTTTAGCATATCTGTTAGAGGCGAATAAGACAGATAACCAACGCTTTTCGATTTTTTCATTTCTTCCTACATTCTTTGGATAATGTTGATTTCAATTATTCAGTTCTATTCTCATGCTTATTTTGAATAAAATAAAAAAGTTGATAATAAAATTTGCACTTGCATAAATGTTGCGGAAAACGTTACGGAGAAGAAAATATAAAATGCATGATGATCTATCTCAAAAAAACTGAGAGATGTGTTTTCCAATCATATTTTTTATCGAGTTCGTGTGTTTGTTCAACAGGTTATCGTTAACCAATAGTATAATAGAGATTAAAGCAATTTTTATTTCGAGTGCCATGTTTACTGACACAGTTTATTCAGTATATTTAATTAATCGTAGTGATCTTGATATAGATAATAGATAATGTATATCAATTCATCCTGCTTATATTAGTTAAATTTCCATTCCCTATTTTTTATAGATATAACTCAAAGAAATTCTGTCCGCGATCTTTTTAAATATTTTTCGAGATTCACATACACATATACCATATGTATATACATGTATATGTGTGTGTCTGGTTCGTAGGGATGTAGACAAGGAAGATCTGATCAAATAAAATAATCGCTAGAACAATTATAACAGTAATTATATAAATTCATTCAACTATTGATGCTGGGTACTTAAGTTACAATGGTAACAGATATGTTACAGTGATAACAGATGTGTATATCAAGATTCGATTGTTTGTTTCTAAAATTTACATATAGACACATCATGCGACCCAACGCCAGTTTAGCGCACTATAACATAATCGCGTACCAACGTCAAAGAGCTAATATCAAGGTGTGTTATGAATTCACTCCTTGATGGAACTTTAGTTCTGGCTGTACTGTCTTTAATTCTTCATGCAGTTTCATGGCGCGTTTCTTAAAGGTCTCGGCAAGGGCATTGTTCTTCTCCACGCCATCTCCGCGTGCGTGCATCTGTGACAGATTCGCACAAGCATACGGATTCCCGAGCTCGCAGCTTTTCAGCGATAACTTGTATGCCTCTTTGTAATTCCTATCGATGACACCCTCCAGACCGGACAGATACATGCCCGCAAGATAGAAACATGCCGTGTCCGAATTGTACATATCACAAGCTTTCATCAGTTGCTTGGCAGCCTTTTGAATCTGTGTTGCCCTGTCCTCCTCTCCTACATTTTGCTTAGATGTCCCCAACACACCAGCATGCAAACAGCCATACTGGTCATTTAACTCGCAGCCCTTTGACATGTATTTATATGCTGTCTGTACGTCTTTCTTACAACCTTTACCTGTATAAGATAAGAAACATCACGAGATATAAATTACCTTTTGCATCTAGCAAAGTAATATTAATCTATGGATCGTTTGTACAATTATAAATAAATTGTTTTCTTAACGATAATATCGAGAGGAGAACGTATATTCGTCGGTTCAACCAACAAGATACTGATGAAAACCGATCGTATTATGAAATTTATCCATCCTGAAGATTCAAATTTAAAAATTCACCTCGCGTACGCGTATATAAGCGTCTTTCAGTAAATATTGCGGTTAGAAGGGAAGCAACAAATTACATTACCACAGATTAGCCCTACAAGAATATGTCTCCTGAGTTTAAGAAATAAAAAAAGGAGAATGAATTATATTCATATGGATAACTATATATCTTTAGAACATCTCATATATCATAAATGTAATTGTCCATATTTATGTCCATATTTACGAAATCTTGTGATAATCGTAAATTGTAAAGTTAATGACGCATTAAACATTCAAATTTATAATGAATGACAAAGAACACAGTCAATAATCCTAGTATTTATCAATTCTCTTTTGAACGGCTATAATAATTTCGATAGTATTTTGATAGCAGTCAACGTTAGCGGTTACGGACGGCCGAATCAAGCAACATGATTGGTCAGAACCTTACTGTTACGTGTGTGATAGCTTTTACTTGTCTCTTAATACGAGGTTACTCACCGATTGCTAAAAAGTCGCCGTATTTCGCGCAGCTTCTGCCGTAATTGTATTTGTCACAAGTCATCTTATATATTGAAACAGCCTTTTCCATACAATTTTCTATTGACTCGTAATAATCGCCCAGTAGATGGCATACTATTTGTAAAGTTTTAGATTTTTAGGTTAAATTCGATACTGAGTGAGAATATTATCACTCACCTTCTGGTCTTTTTTCGCTATGACAACCAAATTGGTACTCAATGTGTAAATTCTTTAAGTACTCTTTCACCTCCTCTTCGTCTTTTAAATTATAAGCCATTGTACTACGAACACAGTTTGAACCTGCTGACGTTTTTGCTCTCTCTCTCTCTCTCTCTCTCTCTCTATCTCTCTCTCTCTCTCTCTCCCCTTCCCTATTTCCGTCCTTTCCCTTTCTTCCTCTCTCGCTCCTCGCTCTCACTCTCACTCTTATCCTCTCTTATTCTCTCTCACTCATTCGGTCGCTCGTTCATTCGTTCTCTTTTTTTCCCACTCTAAAGCCAGCGGCACACGGTGCTTGTTTTCGTGCTGGATTGCTTGCTGGATGAAAATACTGCATTCTGATTGGTACATTTCTGAAGATGGATGGAAATGCACCAATCAGAACGCAGTATTTTCATCCAGCAAGCAATCCAGCACGAAAACAAGCACCGTGTGCCGCTGGCTTAAGTTTTAATTTCATATGTTTAATATTCGGTTGAATGCATTAGTGTGCATTCTGCAGACGAACAATATTTATTCATAGTCCGTCTTTTTATTTATGATTATTTAAATAGAGAGAAATCTGAGAGTACCGACGTAATACTGTGGCCATGTTCCAAAATTCACTGCCAGCGCTGAAAAGTTATAGTTAAGCCAGTGGCACACGGTGCTTGTTTTCGTGCTGGATTGCTTGCTGGATGAAAATACTGCGTTCTGATTGGTGAATTTCCACCCATCTTCAGAAATGTACCAATCACAACGCAATATTTTCATCCAGCAAGCAATCCAGCACGAAAACAAGCACCGTGTGCCGCTGGCTTTATAGCAGAAAGAAACGTGAGAGCGGCCAACATGGTGTTTTCGACGACATCGACTTCCGCGCCATCTGTATCTATTTTGAGAGGAGAACTACGATGCTACATCCATTTTCAGGTTTCGGCGGTAAAACCTGTATGTGGTGGCAGTCCGTGCTACATCCATTCTTAGGCGGTTTATGTCCGTACTACAACCATAATAGCGTACATGACAAGCACGGTCTCGCACATTGTTACACGTTTATAACATGACTTAACATGTTAACATGTGCAAAAAAAAAGAATTGACATTGTGTATGATTAATATCATAAAGATCATACGAAGTGTCCGGTAATTAGCTGCCAACCCGAAGTGTGAGGATAGATTGGGTTCAGACAAACATAAAAGTCCCATACCATTTTGCGAGATTCGCAATAATTATCGAGTTATTAATGACAGAAATCTGAGAAGTAAAAGCGCGCCGACATAGATGACTCGAAAGCATTGCAGCTGCTCGGGGTAGCGATCATGAATCTTTTCCCTAGCGTAAACTAATAAAAAGTGAAAGACTTCTGTGAAAATCAGTGAAAAATTAAAAATTTTATATGAATTTGTGAAAATCGAAACATTTCACACGACAATTGAATCGTTCAACATGGCAGTTGCGCGTTCTCGATAATTCAATGAATACCAAAGAAATCAAAATGATCAAAATAATAATGTCCGTGTAGTTCGAAGGATATTACGTGACACGTAAAATCCGTTTGATATAATATCCAAAGAAAATGTTTCAAAATATGTATGTACAGGTAATATAAACCTTATGCACCGACGAGATATACTACAAAGACTGATGGCCTTACGGGATTTAGCGTACCAGAGAAATTTCCTGGTGAGGCACCCGGGCGAAAGAGACCGTCTCGCATTTAGCGCAGTAAAATTTAATGGAAACTAATACTTTTCAATCCTTTTCTTCGGATCAAAAAGATTCAGAATTCAAACATATTCAAAATGTCAATACTTTTTAATACGTTTCAATTCGACATTTTATAAAGGGAAACAGGACGAAGGGAATGGGATGCGGGCAACGATACATCATGCGTCTCCAGACGTGTCAAATCGTTTATTATAGAGGAGACTTTGATACGGCAACATGTATTCGAATATTTAATCGTCCCATGGACCACTTATATATAATAAAAAATAAATTAACGCTGATAAATGAACGACTCGTATCAATTTTTCCTTTTCTTATAGAGCAATGAAAGAGTAAATCAGTATCGAAAATCGAATACCGATTAATACCATAAATCAGAAAAGTGTCAGTGTCAGAATCAGTGTCAGAAAATTGTCCAATGACAATTTGTTCACATTTTTCAGGTAGTTACCGCTGTAATTTACACAACAAATTAACTCGGTTAAACGAACGATTCGTACCAATTTTTCTTCTTTTATAAAGAAATGAGAGAATAAATCAGTACCGAAAATCGAAGGCCGATCAATACCTAATTTATTCATCAAATTAACGCGGATTAATGGACGATTCGTATTAATTTTCTGTTTTCTTATAGAGAAATGAAAGACTAAATCAGTATCGAAAATCGAATATCGATTAATACCATAAATCAGTGTCAAAAAATTGCACACGTGCAATGATAATTTGTTCTTATTTTTCAGGTACATACCCCTCTAATCTTATTCAACAAATTAACTCAGATAAACGAACGATTCGTATCAATTTTTCTCTTTTTATAGAGAAATGAAAGAGTACATCAGTACCGAAATCGAAGACCGATTAATATCTAACTTATTTATCAAATTAACTCGGATAAACGAACGATTCGTATCAATTTTTCTCTTCTTATAGAAAAATGAAAGAGTAAATCAGCACCAAAAATCGAATATCGATTAATATCGTAAATCAACATCACAAAATTGTCCACGTGCAACTATAATTTGTTCTTATTTTTTAGGTACTTACCTCTCTAATTTACTCAACAAATTAACTTCAATAAACGAATGATTCGTATCAATTTTTCTTCTCTTATAAAGAAATGAAAAAATAAATCAGTACCGAAAATTGAAGACCGATCAATATTTAATTGTATGTATACTTTATTGATTCCCCTGGCGGGGTTACAAATTCCAATATAATCTCTCCTCCTTACTTCCTATCACAGTCGCTCCTCTCCCCTCGCACACACACACATACACACACTCTCCCATCCCCCGCCCCACCTTAAATCTACTTTACAAATATCTTACATCTACTCGCTCGCTTATCTCTTATAATTCATTGTTCTCTTATCATCTATTCTTATACATATGTATATATCTATATTTCTATGCCGCTCCTATAATTCTTATTTCCTACCGCCGATTTTCGCTTTCCTCCATTCATTCCATTCCTTCACACTTTCTTCCTCGCTCTCTCTCTCTCATCCTTTTAATTTTCGATACTGATTTAATCTTTCATTGTACTATAAGAAAGAGAAAAAATGATACGAATCGTTCATTTATCCGCGTTAATTTGATGAATAAATTAAATATTGATCGTGCACGATGGGGGGAGAGGGAGAATGGGTATAGATGGTAGGAAGACTGCTAAGAGAGGGGGGAGGGAGAGGGTTGAGAGAGTAGGAGGAGTGGAGGGGGAGAGGGGAGGACGAGAAGGA